CTGCTCTTTTTTCACTTGTTTTGGTTTAATTTTTAAATGTCTGATAAACTTCATAAAGTAAATTTTAGCTGCAACTGTGTCAGGTATTATTCTAGTCAGAATTTCGTAGTAATCTTATTAATTACCTTAGTTTGACTAATCCATGGGTTCTTATGTTCTTATTGAAAAGAACACTTATTCCAGCAGGACAGCAAAGGAGTCGCTTGTCAGTCTTTAGGAAGTTAGCCCTTGATAGATACTTCTAGCAAGCAGTGGTAAACTTAGAAGCCTTGAACTGTGCTAAGTACCAGAATTTTGTATGCAGCACTTCCTACCTTTGGGGCTAGACCTTGCCAAGAGCCAAATGCTGGTTGGCATCAGGCACCCACCCTTCCCCGCCCCTGCAAGGTGACAGTGTCCTGCTGGCTGGCACCAAGGACATTATTAATACGAAGTTCTAAATGACAACAGTGCAGCCTAGCAAATGTGTGTTGAGCTCTTTTAAAATGAAGATTAGTATTTGCCTTTCTAAAAAGCCAAACCAAAACAAACAAAAAACCCCAGTCAGTATCTTTAATAGCTTAATGGCATGTCTTTTTTTCTTTTTTTCTAGGAGTTAAAAGGAGGAAAGGCGTATGCAAAGGTGAATTGACATGTATCTAATTTTGCCTATAAATTAGCTTTCCTTTCTTGTCATTTTATGCCCTTTTAAAGTAATTCCAGAATAGTACCCTAATACCCATGATTTCATTATGTGCATGATAGTGACACAGTGGTGTTGGAACTCTTGATCAGTGTGTTTAGTAAGTATATAATAATATTATACCAGCAGAATGTTTTTTTTATTTCATCTTAGTATGTTGAAAGGGTTGATAAAAGTAAACCCTTCTACATGTGTTTACTTTTAAAAATAAAGAAAACTCTGCTTGTTCTTTTTCCTCTTGAGACTTTAATTTTTAACTGAAAATAGAGCTTTGCAGAATTTGACACTCGAAATTTGTTTCTGCTTTTTGCCTTGGGCCGCTCCCTTTAATGGGCATCCTCTTATTGATATCTGAGAGAAACTGCTGTTGAGTGGCACTCAGTACTGTGCCTGTAGCAAGATCCTTCATTTAGTAATATGCTTACTACTAACTTTGTCATTTTCTCTTAACAGCTGGGATTTGCAGATCTAAATCTAGCAGAGTTTGCTGGATCGGGAAATACTGTTCGTCGCTGTTTACTGGAAGGTTACGATACCAAAAATGCAAGACAGGACAACTCCATTCTCAAAGTAATTTGTTTCCTTTATCACACTTAAACTAATAAAGCAAAAAACAAGTGGTATTATTAAGCACTTAATGAAATTTAAAACATATTTGCTGAACCTCTTTCTAGAAGGAAAACTATTTAAAGTAAAAACATCAGCGTTGTTTAGAGACAATCATTAAAATCCATGCAGTCAAAACTAGAATTTGTCCTACTTTTTGAAATGGAGCTGGATAGCTGAAGAAAAGAAAAGCTTTCAGAAGGTATTCCTATTCCAACAGGAGTTGAAAAATGGAATAGGAAAGCATGATGAAAAAGCTAATGCATTCATATATTTATCATATTTTATCTTTAAGACTGGGCAACTTCCTGTGCAGCTTTTCTAAGAGTGAATCTCTTAACTGGCTTGTTCATGTATAGCCAGCTTCGACACCTTCATGACTCCTGGAACTTTCCCTTTTCTAGCTGATAGTAATCCATGTAACAATTGGTGAGCGTTGTTGGAAGAAACCCACCTTGCCATTCTCTCCCATTAGCCCAGGGAGTTTAAAAACTTGAATAAGCTGCATCAACCTGAAAATATTTACATACAGAATGTTACGAGTAAATTTTTTAAGGATGTCTTTTCCTACCAAGACGCTAGGATTAATTTCCCATACTATTGAGTACACCATTTAAGCATGCACTTTCTGATTTCTTTAAGACAGTCATAGACTTTTTCCAGAAAACTTTTAATTGATGGCATTGACCTGGCTAACAAGCCTTCTCGATGCATTGTTGTCCTATGGCGTTATTTACCTTTTGTGGTTTTACTTCATCTCTGATGTTAGCACAACCAGTTTTCATATCCTAGCAGTTTGCTAAACATTCTCAGCAAAGAACATACTTCAGCACCCACTGTTTTAAACAATATTCTGTTTGCTCATTAATCGTTCAGATTTCCCATCTCTCTCTTTTTCCCTTGAAGCCACCTTAACTATTAATGATTCTAAGATTCTTCTTGATCTACGTATCTTTTGCAGAATCCTGTATGTGCAGCCATGTTACTTTAAATGTTATTTTGTGTTGCTTGCAAGTGTACTAAGAAAAAAGATGTAGTTTTTTTCATAAGTGTATTTATTTGCATATGCGATGATGTCGTTTTATTTTACTCAAATGTAAGGTTTGTGGCAAGCATAACTTAGTGACATGACCATGTATTGCAGACCAATTCCTTTTTTTTTTTCTTACAGTGGGTTTTGTTTTCTTAATGTGTAGGTTTTGATCAACATGCAGCTAATGTCTGGAGACCCGTGCTTTAAAATGTAAGTTTATAAAAAAAAAATCTGTGTGGGATAGTGTTTTGGTCATACATTCCATGTTCAGAATTACACTTGTAATTTGTGTTTATGAATCTCTCCAATCTGGCAACAATGTTTAAAAAACAAGAAAAAAGGACACAAATAAATGGGATGGTAGCTGAATAATGGCTAACATGGTAAAAAAAACAGTAGAAGTATCATAGTTCTCCTTGCTGTTAAATAGTTAGTGTATTTTCAAGCGAAGAATACTAGCCTGTATCTGTAACTAAAAAAAACCAAAACACAAACAAACCCCCCACCACCACTTAAGGGAAACCGTTCCTGCAGCAAGCTTATATAAATATACTTGGTATGGGGTGATCTGACTAATATGTGTGTTTGCAAAATGTGCTGTTACACCTTTTATTCACTAGTCTCAGATGATTTTAAAAGATTTATTTAAAAAAACCCAGAAGTGTGATATGACTTAGTACAGGAGAAAGCGCTTATGGATACTGAGTTAGCAAAGACATTATGCAGCTTAGTAGAAGATGCAAGAAGTAACGTCGGAGCAGGGAGGTAGCTAGAAAAATACGCTGCTATATGTTCAGGATCCTTTGGCCTCATTGTCCTTAATCTGTAGTTAAGGAAATATGACAGTTTTGCTAGAGCACGTTAGCTTCCATAACTAACCACAGGACAGAAAAATCACGCATGCTAGGGAAAAACCTAGTCATGAGTGAGATGAAATTGTTGCCTTCTTTCTAGACTAATAAGCCATTTTGTTATGAAGCAGCCAAGCTTAGTGGGTAACTAAACTGAAAGAGTGCAATTGGCAAGCTTCCTGATCCAGAGAACACTACTAACTTGCTAACCATGACTTAAGTATCCTGATCAGTAGGAAGTGAAGGACTCTTACGTGTCATTTGTATTATAAGAGATATTTTATAACCTAAATGCTATTCATTTTAAGGATAGGCTTAGAGATATGTATAGAATCTGCTTCCATGAGTGCAGTGTGGAAAATCTCTCAATACTTGCCAAGACTCTTAATGCCACTGCTTTTCTGTAATTTAGAATGTTGGTAAACTGGGTTGTTCAAAGTGTATGTGCTTTTCAGTTTAATGTCAATCTTTTCTAATTCTACGTGACAGTAGATAGCAATTTTGTCTGGATCAGGTTTAAACCAACTTAGTTGTATTTTACTTGTCACAAAGTGTTTGGAGGAGGGGTTGATGAAATAATTCCTTCAAAATAAATTTGATCCCTTAAGTTCTAGTTTAACTCAAATTTTTCTTCAGTTCACTTCATTGACCACATTGTTACACTGAAACTAGTAGGAGATGGAATCAAAATGAGAGGGCGTATTTTCTTCCCACAACATGCAGTTAAGCTGTGGAACTCCTGGCTACTACATGTTGTCTTCTTTCTTTCTTGAGCTTTTAGTATTCACAAATTCCTGAATAAAAAAACTATTGAGGGCTATTAAGTACAAAACATCTTATGAGCCTCAAGAAATACCTAAGCTACAGATGAGATGCTGGAAGAATATTCAGGTGATACATTACTATGTGTGCCATATTCTCTTAGCTTCTGTTGGTTGCTGCTGCCAGAAACAGGATGCAAGGCTAGAGAGCTTTGGTCTGAGACAACATCCTTGTTCTGATGTTAGCCTTTTCAAAAACCATCTAAGGCAGCGTTCCAAGTATTACATATAACCTGAAAAGAAAAAAGTGAGCTTAAGGAAAACAAACTGGAAAAAAATGCTAGCTTCACCTTTGTTAGGTCAATCTCAACTTTTTGTGTAGGTTCTCAAATTTCATTTATACTTTCAGACCTTACGTTGTATCAAAGATACCTTCCATTATAAAGATACAGTGCTTACAAACTGTACACTAAAACACTTTGACTTCAATATGGATTTTTTACTCAAAATACTCTCATAAACTGAATTTAAACTCACCTTTTATCAGATTAATGTATGCAATCAATGTCCCTCTGAATATTCCAATGAAGAGGGATAACAATCTCATACAGGCTTAATCTGTAGCAGTAAACATATACTGAAGTCTCCCTTAAGTAAAAAAAAAAAAAATTATGTTTAAAGTGAAATGAGGCTGCAGCTCCAAGAAAAGCAGCATGATCTCTTAACTCAGTCTGAGGTGTGAGTATGAAGTAACTCATGGTTTGTAGGTTTTATGAGGACAGTTGAGAACTGCTTTCTGTAGCAACTAGAGACTGTGCGTTACTGCTGTGGCTGTATCCTTACCGTTGTTTCTGAGGAGATGCGAGAATGTTGCCTGCACCAGTCTAGCTCAGACGATTCACTGCAGGAACTCTTCAAAGTCCCCTTGCACCACTAAAGGCCCTTTGTTCTCTCTTCTTCTAACCTTCAATGAGAAGAACAGAACACTGAAATCTCATCTTGTGCTTACTGAATAAATGGTAGGAGGGTATTATCTGAATTTGATTAGGCAAAGCTTTTCTGTATCCCTAGTTCTTTAGCACCTCTTGATTTACTTGGAGTCAGACCTATTAACAAATACATCACCGATACTGATAAACAATTTCTCAAAGGCAGCTAACCAATCATTAGTCTTGTATACTAATAAAACAATGTAATTCTGTTCTTTACTGGCTGGTACTGAAGTAGTTGAAATTAGTACCTAAATGTAAACTATTTAGTTTTTTGGCTCCCTAGTTAAAAATCTCTAACTGACATTACTCAGACTTGGCATGTTCTTCCAAAATGATGATATAACCATTTCCTGGAACGTAAACTTACAACACAAACAGAACAAAAAATTTATCTAATCCAGATGTTCTTCATAGAAGGAAGAATAAACCTTAAAACAGTTTCACAATTGGGAATCATAGTCTGGAATCAGCTACATGTTTTATGAAGAAGCCTAGAAGGCTTAATGTTTGATTTGGGGTGACATCCCTGAAAGCATTCAGTTCTTGCTTTCTGTCGTGGCTCAGCCCCAGGCAGCAGCTCAGCACCACGCAGCTGCTCGCTCACTCCCCCTACCCCAATGGGATGGGGGAGAGAATCGGAGGAGTAAGAGTGAGAAACACTCCTGGGGTGAGATAAGAACAGTTTAGTAATTGAAACAAAGTAAAATAGTAATGATAATAATAACAATATAATAATGATAATAATGTACAAAGCAAGTGATGCCCAATGCAATTGCTCACCAACCGCCGACCGATGCCCAGCCAGTTCCCAGCAGCGATCGCTGCTCCCCGGCCAACCCCCCAGTTTCCATACTGCCCGTGACGCCGTATGGTATGGAGTGGCCCTTGGGGCAGTTGGGATCAACTCTCCTGGCTGTGCCCCCTCCCAGCTCCTTGTGCCCCTGGCAGAGCAGGGGAAGCTGAAAAGCCCTTGACTGGCATGAGCAGCGCTGAGCAACAACTAAACCATCAGTGTGTTATCAGCGTTATTCTCCTGCTAAATCCAAACCACAGCACTGTGCCTGCTACTGGGAAGAAAATTAACTCTATCCCAGCCGAAACCAGGACACTTTCAAAAGTATGTTAGCCAGTTAAGTCACACAAGCGTTATATTTCCAGAAGTGCTCTTGCTCTTCCTCTACTTTCAAATGTTACACAAGAGGGGATGTGTTACTGTACATAAAGACAGTGACTAGTTTATTATGTCAAATCTAAAAATGTCAACAAATATCCATTTGTATGCAGACCAACAGCCTGTTCCCAAAGTCACAAATAACAAAGCATTAAAAAAAACTGTAGGTAACATCTTGAAATGTATTTTAGTTGTATTTGCTTGCAAGAGCAGATTATTTTCACTTTGTCATTTTCTAATTAGTTTCTTTTGCACTAAGAAAACACAAGCTTAGAGGTTTATTCATTTTAATAAAATATCCCTTTGGGTCTTGGTGTAAATTGAAACAAGCATTTAAGCTTTATTAGAAGCTTTTTTAATATTGAACCAAACTTAAATTATATCGTACATGATGCTTTTTTTCATTTGCAGGAGGTAGAACTCTAGAGGGGAATATATGGCGATGGTAACGTAGGCCCTTCGTTAGGAGTGGGGGGTCATCAGCCCAGAATCTCCTCATGTACTGTAACAGGGATGAAACAAAGACAGGAGTACATTGCAGTGTACAGGCCAAGTAGGCCAACTGGTGTTGTGCGGGTTTGGGGGGGTTGTTTTGTTTTTTTTAACTTACCATCTTGTCACGTATTCCATGAAGTACTGAATTATATATATTCTTAGCACATAAATTATCCGGTGATTCATACACTTAAAAAAAAAATTAAGAACTTCAAAATAAACACATATCACTCCACCAATCATCAAGAAAGGAAAAGTCTTTCAAAGATCCCCAGAAGCCTGAAGGACTGAGGGCTGAGCAGATGGATTCTGTAAAATGTCCTGAAGCTCAATAGCAAAAGCTTTTTTTTTTTCCTTTTTAACAGGGGCTAGGCAGCATGTTTTCACGAAAAAAAAAAAAGTTACAAGCCTATTAACTTGAAGCATGGTATGAATTATGCCAATTTACTTGAAAAGAAAAATCTGTGCTGATCAATTTGGAGGGACTACAGCAAAAGGACAGCAAATCTTAACGACCTTTTTCTTACAGGCCTCCTTCCACAGCCATGTCTATAGCAATTGCTGGAGAATCAGAATCTTTGCATGAAGACAGGAAAGGCAGAGAAAACTTAAAAGTAGTACATCTGGGCATAGCAGGTATAAAATAATGCTTTTAATTTCTCAATTCTTTTATAACTGGCTTCATAGCATCAGGGAGATGTACAAAATACTTCAAATCTTAAAGGGACCTTCTTTGGTTATTTGTTGAGACACACTCTCCTGGATAACATCAGTGGAATCTCCTTTTTACTTTTGTAACAGTTTATTTAATGGAAAGAAAGAAAAGAAATCGGATTGATAGCCTGACTTCTTTTTAACATTTAAAATCTTTCATTTCCTGTGTGACACATTTCTTGATTTGCTTTGGATTTGTATTTTTAGCATTTACTTTGGCCCTTGATTTTCAATTTATGAATCATAGGGATATGAGTAACTGAGTAAATTTTGAGTGGTAAAAGTTCTAAGTATTGTTTAAAATTGAAGTAGTTACTCTGAAATTTAGACTCTTAGAAAAAAATAGAATTAAACCACTTTATTGCTGGTTGAAATCTGGGGGAATTTTGGTGGGGTTTGGGTTTTTTTTGTTTTTTTTACAAGCTTCAGGCTCTTCCATAGCTTATTAATTTCCACCCTAAAGACAGCTTAAGTTGTCTTAACCACAGTTACTTTTTCAGCCAGAAAAATCCAGCACACCATTCTACTATGGTACTATGGAAAGCATGGTGATCTCTTTAATGTCTACAGTGCAGACAGATCTAAAACTACATTTCATACAAATCTTTCTAACCTGATGGTACTCTCTGTTTTACTCAGACAGAAATGTATTATGTTTTTTTTTTTTTTTTTAAGGAATGCATATTCGTTAACATACACGGTATTTTTGCAGCACTTGAATCTTCAAAGGGTTTGTACAAAACCAGTGTCAAGTCCCTAATCCTTCCGGGAAATCTGACATTTGAGTCTAATCAAGATTACAGGAAAAGTAGTAACAAAGCTGGCTTTAGCAACAGTATCTGACTTGCACATGTTGCAGATCTCTCATCAAAGAGTGCCTCAGTCCCAGATGAACTTGGTGCATGTGGACATTCCAGAACATCAAGCTATGCAAGTCAGCAGTCAAAACTGTCAGGTAGCTGTTAACAGCTTTGTTACAAATTGTTGGGGTTTATTTACTTTCACAATTTTAGACTGTAGAAAATAAGTATACTTTATATGTTTAAAACAATCATTTGAAATGGAAAGCTTTTGCCTAGGAGTTTCACATGTGGGGAGGGAGGGTAACATTTTTTTTCCTCTTAAAGCACAATGAATTATCTGTTCAGACGTGAGGCAGCTTTTCCCCTTAGGTCCCTCCAATTAACATGTCTGAATGACATTTTTACCTCTTCCATGTGTAAAAACAAATAACTTACAAATGGACACTTAGTTCTCAGAGCTGAAGGGGAAGTAATGACACCAAGTCATCCTATTTGTTAGGAAGCAAGAGTTATTTAGAACAAAAAAACCCGAGCATGTGCTAGAATACAAAACCCAAAGTAAACTGCCTAGTTGGTGTATGCACATACACTCTTAAGGCTTTTGAAGTCTCTTTATAAGAAGACAAAAGACAAATTCTGCTTTTAGCATGGTAAAATACAAGTAATGTCCTTGGCTGTCAACAACATGCCTAACCTAGCTCTTCTGTACTTTCCCACCAGGCTATAGCACATGTCACTCCAGATCATCCAGTCTGTCCGACCTCTGCCACAGGAGGAACACCTCGGTGGGCAGTACCTCAACAGGAATCGGAAGTATTCTAGAGCCATGTGATGAGACTGAGCCAAAAGTAACTGAAGCTAATATTGATACGTCTGTTAAAGATACACCATCAGAAAAACTCTGCAGGTACACTCAACTTTGAAAGCCTGTCACGGTTTAGCCCCAGGCAGCAGCTCAGCACCACGCAGCCGCT